CCAGGATGTAGAGTCATGTGGGCTCTCAGTGTGATTTGTGATCCTGATCCATCATTGTTGGCAGTTGTATTGGTATTAGGAAGGGAGTGCAGATATTGCAAGTCCCATCGTCCATGGTGCATCCTCCTCCAAACCGCACCAGGATCTAGAGTGCGTCATGGAGATTCAGTGTGCCAAGTTTGGTCTTTATCAGTAATTGATGAGGGTTGCAGTGGTCTCAAGAATTGAGCAAAGGTACTGCAAGTCCCATAATCCATGGTCCATCCCCGACCAAACCACACCAGGACGTAAAGTGGGTCATGAGAGGTCTATGTGCCAAGTTTGGTCCTGATCAGTCATTGCATGAGGTTAACAGCGGTCTCAGAATGTGAGTGATGGTACTGCAAGTCCCATAATCCATGGTTCATCCTCCTCCAAACTGCAGTAGGATGTAGAGTGGGTTTGCGGGCTCTGTGTTCCAAGTTTGGTCTGTATTGGCAATTTTTTGACGCAGCCCCTGGCCTTTTCCTTTCCTCTCTTTGTCATCTCGGAATCTTGGAATTGAGGCTGGCCAATCAGAGACCATATCCAAATTTCCTTCTCTCATGTCTCTGTTTCTGTCATGAACCCTTTTCTCCACCAGGGGCTCCTGTTGGAGCTGGTCAATCAGAGACCATATGCAAATAGCACCACAGTGGCAGCTAATTGGAATCTTGGAACTTTCAGGCTGGCCAATCAGAGACCATTTGCAAATAGCACCACAGTGGCAGCCAATCAGAAAGCAGGCACATACCCTGTCACACTGCCATACTTCCGTCTGCCGCATACAAACTTTGACTTTTATTATATACTAGCTTTGGGACCCGGCACTGCCCGGGCTATTTGAGAAAGGCATTGTGTTTCAAGGTTGGTCTTTATCAGTTATTTATATGGCTCGCAGTGCTCTCAGGAAGTGGGTCATGGGGGCTCTGTGTGCCGAGTTTGGTCTTGATCGGTCATTAGATGAGTGTTGCAGAAGTCTTGGGAAGTGAGTGGAGGTACTTGAAGTCCCATTATCCATAGTCTGTACTCCCCCAAACCTCACCAGAATGTTGAGTTGGCCATGTGGGCTCTCTGTGCCAAGTTTGGTCTTTCTTGGTATTTGGATGAGTGTCACTGTGGTTTCAGGAAGTGAGTGAAGGTACTGCAAGTCCCATCATCCATCGTCCACCCCCCAACAGCACCGGGATGTAGAGTGGCTCATGGGCTCTGTGTGCCAAGTTTGGTCTTGATTGGTCATTAGATGAGGGTTGCAGCATCTTGGGAAGGAGTGGAGGTACTTGAAGTCCCATCATCCATGGTCTGTCCTCCTTGAAACTGCACCAGGATGTAGAGTGGGTCATTGGGGCTCCATGTGTGCCAAGTTTGTCTTGATTAGTCATTGGCGAGGGTCTCAGTGGTCTCAGAGAGTGAAGGTACTGCAAGTCCCATCATCCATCTCCAATTTTTTCCAAACAACACCAGGACGTAACGTGGGTCATGAGAGGTCTATGTGCCAAGTTTGGTCTTGATCAGTCATTGGAAGAGGTTAACAGAGGTCTCAGAATGTGAGTGAAGGTACTGCAAGTCCCATCATCCATGGTCCATCCTCCTCCAATCAGCACCAGGATGTAGAGTGGGTCATGGGGGCTCTGTGTGCCAAGTTTGGTCTTGATCGGTCATTAGATGAGTGTTGCAGAGGTCTTGGGAAGTGAGTGGAGGTACTTGAAGTCCCATCATCCATAGTCTGTATTCCCCCAAACCTCACCAGAATGTTGAGTTGGCCATGGGGGCTCTATGTTCCGAGTTTGGTCTTTATTGGTTTTTAAATGAGTGTCGCTATGGTTTCAGGAAGTGAGTGAACGTACTGCAAGTCCCATCATCCATCGTCCATCTTTCAAACAGCATCGGGATGTAGGGTGGGTCTTGGGGGCTGTGTGTGCCAAGTTTGGTCTTGATCGGTCATTAGATGAGGGTTGCAGCAATCTTGGGAAGGGAGTGGAGGTACTTGAAGTCCCATCATCCATGGTCTGTCCTCCAAACTGCACCAGGGTGTAGAGTGGGTCATTGGGGCTCCGTGTGCCAAGTTTGGTCTTGATTAGTCATTGGCGAGGGTTTCAGTGGTCTCAGAAAGTGAGTGAGGGACCATATGCAAATTTCCTTCTCATGTCCCCGTTTCTGTCATGAACTCTTTTCTCCACCAGGGGCTCCTCTTGAAGCTGGCCAATCAGAGACCATATGCAAATAGCACCACAACGGCAGCCAATCAGAATCTTGGAACTTTCAGGCTGGCCAATCAAAATGCTGGCACATACACCGCCACACTTTTGTCCTCCGCATACAAACTTTATTATTATTATTACTACTAGCTTGGGGACCCGGCGCTGCCCGGGTTATTAAAGAAAGTGGGTAATGGCGGTTCTGTATGCCAAGTTTGGTCATTATTGGTCATTGGATGATGGTTGCATTGTTTTCAGGAAGTGAGTGAAGGTACTTGAAGTCCCATCATCCATAGTCTGTTCTCCCCCAAACCTCACCAGAATGTTGAGTTTGCCATGGGGGTTCTGTGTGCCAAGTTTGGTCTTCATCAGTCATTGGATGAGGGTCTCAGTAGTTTCACTAAGTGAGTGAAGGAACTGCAAGTCCCATCGTCCATGGTGCATCATCCTCCAAACCGCACCAGGATGTAGAGTGCATCATGGAGACCCGGTGTGCCAAGTTTGGTCCTTATCGGAAATTGGATGATGGTTGCAGTGGTCTCAGGAATTGAGCGAAGATACTGCAAGTCCCATAATCCATGCTCGATCCACAGTCAAACCACACCATGGCGTAAAGTGGGTCATGAGAGGTCTATGTGCCAAGTTTGGTGTTGTTCAGTCATTGTTGAGGGTCGCAGCAGTCTCGGAAAGCGAGTAGGGGTACTTCAAGTCCCATCATCCATGGTATGCCCTACTCCAAACCGCAGTAGGATGTAGAGTGGGTCATGGGGGCTCTGTGTGCCAAGTTTGGTTTTGTTCGGACATTAGATGAGGGTTGCAGCAGTCTTGGGAAGAGAGTGGAGGTACTTGAAGTCCTATCATCCATGTGTCTGTCCTCCTCGAAAGTACACCAGGATGTAGAGTGGGTCATGGGGACTCTGTGTGCCAAGTTTGGTTGATCAGTCATTGGCAAGGGTCTCAGTGGTCTCAGGAAGTGAGTGAAGTGACTGCAAGTCCCATCATCCATTGTCAAATTCTTCCAAACCGCACCAGGATGTAGAGTGGGTTATGCGGGCTCTCTGTGTAAATTGTGGTCCTGATCCATCATTGTTGGCAGTTATAATGGTTTTAGGAAGGGAGTGCAGGTATTGCAAGTCCCATCGTCCATGGTGCATCCTCCTCCAAGCCGCACCAGGATGTAGAGTGGGTCATGGAGACTCAGTGTGGCAAGTTTGGTCTTTATCGGTAATTGGATGAGGGTTGCAGTGGTCTCAAGAATTGAGCAAAGGTACTGCAAGTCCCATAATCCATGGTCCATCCCCTGGCCAAACCACACCAGGACGTAAAGTGGGTCATGAGAGGTCTATGTGCCAAGTTTGGTCCTGATCAGTCATTGGATGAGGTTAACAGGGGTCTCACAATGTGAGTGATGGTACTGCAAGTCCCATCATCCAAGGTTCATCCTCCTCCAAACTGCAATGGGATGTTGAGTGGGTCATGGGGGCTCTGTGTGCCAAATTTGGTCTGTATTGGTAATTTTCTGACCCAGCCCCTGGCCTTTTCCTTTCCTCTCTTTGTCATCTCGGAATCTTGGAATTGAGGCTGGCCAATCAGAGACCATATGCAAATTTCCTTCTCATGTCCCCGTTTCTGTCATGAACTCTTTTCTCCACCAGGGGCTCCTATTGAAGCTGGCCAATCAGAGACCATATGCAAATAGCACCACTGCGGCAGCCAATCAGAATGTTGGAACTTTCAGGCTGGCCAATCAAAACGCTGGCACATACTCCTCCCGTCGCACCGCCACACTTTTGCCCTCCGCATACAAACTTTCACCTTTATTATATGTATAGACTAGCTTGTGGACCCGGCACTGCCTGGGTTATTAGGGAAAGTGGGTAATGGCGGTTCTGTATGCCAAGTTTGGTCTATTGGTCATTGGATAATGGCCGCATTGTTTTCAGGAAGTGAGTGAAGGTACTTGAAGTCCCATCATCCATGGCCCCCCCTCCTCCAAACAGCAGCAGGATATAGAGTGGGTCATGGGGGCTCTGTGTGCCAAGTTTGGTCTTTATCAGTCATTGGATGAGGGTGGCAGTGGTTTCAGTTAGTGAGTGAAGGTACTGCAAGTCCCAACATCCAAAGTCCATCCTCCTTCAAACTGCAACAGGATGCAGAGTGGGTCATGGGGGCTCTGTGTGCCAAGTTTGGTCTTGATTGGTCATTAGATGAGGGTTGCAGCAATCTTGGGAAGGAAGTGAAGGTACTTGAAGTCCCATCATCTATGGTCTGTCCTCCTCCAAACTGCACCAGGATGTAGAGTGGGTCATTGGGGCTCCATGTTCCAAGTTTGGTCTTGATTAGTCATTGGCGAGGGTCTCAGTGGTCTCAGAAAGTGAAAATTACCTAGGACCGCCTCTGCCTCCACAATAATGATTTAATCAGAGTTGGACAGTCTTATCTTAAATTACAGTTCTATGCAAATATTCAAAAACATTTAACCTATTGCTACCTAATTACCTCTATTTCATTTTTATTTTTGAAACAAGCTTCGCTACCTCATTTTATATCTGTCCCTTCTGTCTATTGCTTCAACTGGAATTCCTCTTTTTTCCTGAGGGTCACAGCAACACATGGCAGGGTACAGCTAGTAGAAACAATATAATAATAATCATCATCATCATCATCATTGTCTTGGCATAACTAGACAATGTTATATGTAACTAGACATTCTCACTCTCTTTCCTTCACTCGCCATTCCTTTCTCTCTCTCTAATCATAACATTGGTACTTTCTTCCTCTTAGGGGAAAACCCCTTGGGCGGCAACAACATCCTCCATCACCAAGGCTGGCTCACGGACCTCGACTCCCGACTCCGAAGCCAGGAAGAAGAACTGATGCTGGTTAAATCAGCCTTGGCGGATGCATTGAGAAGGCTCAGCCTCTACGACCAGCAGATCCCTTTGCTCAGGCAGCAATTGCTTGAAGGTGAGGCTAGTGATTATTGGGGAACTCTTTGGCAAAGAGTTGGCTTGACTCAGAAATCAATTGAGTCACTTAGAGCAGAGGAGTATTTTGTCCAAAATCTCCCAAAGCTTCAAGCTGTACCTGGCTAGAATTGTTTTGAGATGTCTTAGTTTTTTCAGAATTGTTTAATCATTTATATAAGCTGGATCTACACTCTCATATAATCCAGTTCAAAGCAGATAATCTGGATTTTATATGGCAGTGCAGACGGGGGCCATATTTTGTCACAGCAAAGACAAATGCTTTGTTCCTCTGCAGCAAATTCTGGTGCGCTTGACACTGAAGACCCTTCGCTCCTTCCACAAGGCAAACACGCTCTTTGGATCCTGCCCCCGAGCATCTCCAGGTACTTTTTGGGATTCCCTTCGTACTCTAGGATCCTATTATTCTATTGCCCTGTTTCTCCATGAACTTTCTAATGTGAGACTGGATGAACATCTGTTGGGAGGGTTTTGATGGTGTCTTCCTTTATGGCAGAAGCAGGTTGGACTTAGATGGCCTTAGGGGTTTTCCTTCCAACTCCAGGATCCTATTATTCTATTGTCCTGCTTTTTCATGAACCTTCTAATGTCTATGCAGTTAGGTGGCCATCTTTGGGAGGGTTTTGATGGTGTTTTCCTTTACAGCAGAAGCAGTTTGGACTTGGAGTCGCCTAAGGGCTGAGAAGGGCGGTATACAAATATAGTAAATAAACAAATAAATACATTGGACGGCCTTTGGGGTTTCCCTTCCAACTCTAGGATTCTATTATTCTATTGACCTGTTTCTCCATGAACCTTTTAATGTCTGTGAAGCTGGATGGCCATCTGTAAGGATGGTTTTCATGGTGTCTTCCTTTATGGCAGAAGCGGGTTGGACTCGGGTGGCCTTTGGGGCTTCTCTTCCAACTCTAGGATCATATTATTCTATTGCCCTGCTACTCCATGAACCTTCTAATTTCTATGAAATTGAGTGGTCATCTGTCTGGAGGGTTTTGTTGGTGTCTTTCTTTACGGCAGAAGCGGGTTGGACTTGCATGGCCTTTAGGGGTTCCCTTCCAACTCTAGGATCCTATTATTCCATTACCCTGCTTCTCCATGAACCTTCTAATGTCTCTGAAGCTGGGTGGCCATCTGTTGGGAAGGTTTTGATGGTGTCTTTCCTTTACGGCAGAAACAGGATTCTTTCCAACTCTAAAATCCTATTATTCTGTCCTATTATGCTTCTATTTGAGTTCTTTCTTCCTGGAAGTTATGGGCAATGTCTTTGCAGATGGCCAATTCTCTCACACCAGAAGTGACTTGCAGTTTCTCAAGTGGCTCCTGACACGAACAAATCTAGAAAAGTTTGTTTCCATGCATTATTTGCAAGCATGAGTGAAATTGACTGTTGTGTTTCATTTGTAGTTCATCCACTGTGCAACAACCAGATAGCAATAAGGAGTTGGTACCCCAAAGTAATAGGATGCAAGAGTCAAAACAAGTCAGCATCGGGACACAGACAGAGGAGTCCACTGTGCTGGCCATGAAATATGGCCACTGCCTCAACAATGGACACCTTAAATCAATTGTCGAGAGTTCGTTTGCTGGAGAAAAAGCAGTCCAAGATCTCTTCTGCACGAGGGACCCAGACTCTCTTGAAGGCCTTGTAAAGGAACTGGTGACGAAGAACTCCTTCGGGCCCCAAGCAGATGATGGCGAACAGGGCTTGGAGATGCAAGATATCCAGGGAGACACTGCACATGGAGGCCTTGTGTGCTGTCTTTCTAGTTCCGGACCCCATGAAGGCCAGGATGTTGGGGAGCCTCCACCCAAAGACAAAGCCCCGAACGCAGCAGAGGCTCCACCATCAGCTCCATCTCCGGAGCCATTCTCCGAAGGAGGCAGCAGTGGCGGCAGCACCCCGGCCTCCCCAGTGCCAGCAGCCGTTCAGCAGTTGGCAGCCAACAAGAAAGAGCTGTGAGTAGCCATGTTTCAATATCTGATAGGGGGTCCCAATGGAGGAAGGGGACCCCCTTACCATGCGCCAACTGCGACCGTACCTTGCGAAGGCTGATTTGGCCAGGGTGGTCCATGCCTTGGTCACCTCTAGGTTGGATTACTGTAATGCGCTCTACGTGGGGCTGCCCTTGAAAATGGCTCGGAAGTTCTCATTAGGGTACAGCATGGTTAAAACAGACAGAATATATTTTTTTAAACAGTTCACGAGAAAAGAAATTAGGGAAATCAGAAACCCAATGCTGAGCAATACATTAGAAGTATGGAGCAAATATAGGAGAAAGTTAATAATGGAGGGGTCAATTATAACCCCAATTGTAATGGAAAAGAAGTTTCCAAAAAAATCTAAAAAAAGTAATGGATAAAAAGTTAAGGGAATTTTTTTTTAGATAAGATAGGGGATTGGATAAAGGTGGGAATGAAGAAGGAAATGATTATGGAAGAGTTTAAAGAAATAAAATTGACATGGTTCCATTGTATACAATTAGAGTAATGGCTCAAAATTGGTGAAAAAATAATAGAAATGGAAGCAAACTTAACCAATTTGAACAAATAATACAGAAGGGAAGGGTTGTAGAAGAGCATGAAAATTTGAGAGGAATAACTAGTAAAATATATAAGATGATAATTGAAATAAAGGAAGGAAATACAAAAAATAACATCCTTAAAGAGGTTTGGGAAGAGGATTTAGGGATAAAAATAAACGAAACAGAGTGGCAACAATTATGGGGACAAAGGCATTTAAAAAACTTATCAATACGGGTTAAAGAAAATTATTATAAGCTAATATGGAAGTGGTATCTGACACCAATTTTAAAAATTGTTGGAGAGGGTGTCAAGAACCAGGAACATATATACATATGTGGTGGCAATGTAAATATGTAAATAATTTTTGGGAGAAAGTATTTAGAGAAATAGTAGATATAATGAATATGAAAATTGAAAAAAGTCCTAGTATAGCCTTATTATCACTATATAACAACAAACAATTGAAAAAGGAGGATAAAGAAGCAACAAACTTATTAACAATAGCAAGACTGCTCATAGCAAGGAATTGGAAAAAAGAAATAAATATACAAATAGAGGAATGGTACAAGGAAGCATGGAAATTGGCAATAAATGATAAGCTGACATGTATATTAAAAGTTAAAAAAGGTATATGGAAACAAAGTGATTTTGATGTTGTATGGGGTAAATTTGTTGTAAATGGTTTAAAAAATAAAGAAGGAAGGTTACTACCACAAGAAGAAATGAGATTTTGGACAGATGATATGTAAAAGTTGTGGCTTGAAATGGGGGGGAGGGAGCACAGTGGTGGGGAAAAAGGGGGGGGGGGAATAAAACACTTAAGCAGAAGAATAAGATTATATGTTAAAGAGGGTGTTGAATAATATGTAACTGCTATAAACAAATGTATAATAAATGTAATAATTATGATAAAGTAATAAAAATATTTTTTTTAAAAACAGACAGCTGTAGGAATCTATGAAGAAAGTGTCATCATGACTTATGTTAGTGGAACATCATTACACCCATTAATTAAATTAATATCTATTTCCAGATTTCGGAGAAACAGCTCTTCTGACAAGCCCAGCCGAATGAAGCATTACGTGCCCAAGAAGGCAGCTTCCTCAGCGAATCTCTTGAACCGCATGGGGAGCCTTGAAAAGTAAGACCCACTCATCTGTCTGTTGCACCCCAGGCCTGGAAACCCCTATGAGCACCACACAAGAGTCCAGAGTATAAGCAAACAGTTTATTGTAAAAACACATAAAATATTTTTAAAAAATAGGAATAAGGAAAGAAGATGTAAAATCCAAAAAAGCATTAGCAATAGGTGATAACCGGACAGTAATCCAAATGTCTCGTGCAAATCTCAAGGTAATATAGTCCAGGAATAGCCAGAAAGTCTTATGCACAGCATAAGTCCATAAGCAAAGGAAATACAAAAACAAGAACATAGAAAATTTCCAGGATACTTAAATCCAAAACCGTGGCTTGACTTGAAACAAAAACCAGAGAACTTGGGACTAGCTTCTCACTTGAATCTACATTGCCTTAACTAACTTTTAGGTAAACAACTTGCTAATTAATAAACACTCTTTTCCCATGAATTCTCTCCTCAACTTTCCCATGTTTACAAGCTCTGACCGGAGCTGCCTATTTTCTGTTCTAATCTGTAAACAAAGACTTTTGTTGATCTCCGTAGCTCTAGGTGTTTTTCCCTGGGAGCCTTATGTATCACTTAGCTCTTTACCCAACTCCTTATCTAATGTTGCAGATTCTGGCTCCTGTAACTGATCTTGAGGCCTTGCACTTTTTGAGTCAGGTTTTTCCCATAGAGAAACATATTTTCTCTGATTTGAATCTTCCTCACTTTGTGCCCCAGGAAATCTCACAGGAAATCTCACAATTCTCTCTAAACCATCAGTGAACCCAGCCTCAGGCTGTACTACATCACTATCTTTCTTAATAATGTTTTAATCAGAACACAAATCATTTCATATAAATCAAAAATAGCATTTAAGGGTACAAACATATTTTTCAACATCTTGAAAATCAGAGATGTAGTCTTAGCTTGGAATTCATCCTTGACTTCTCTCTATAAGGAATATACACATATTTTAATATTGTCTTTTTCTTTTCTAGCCGAAATAAGGATCCCTCCCTGAGTCCAGGTGAGCTTTAAGAAATGATGATGGCTAATTGAATGACAGAACCTTTAGTAGGAACCTGTACAAAGATGTTAGGAGGAAGCTGTTTCTATCTCATCTTCCAAGGAGACATAGGGAAATTAGTAGAAAGCTGTTAATGTACTTAATAAGGCCATTTAATTATGAGAAACCATTTTTGGCGATTTCTTGTTGTGTGCCTTCAAGTCCTTTCCAACTTTTGGCAACCGTATTATTGTTATTGTAATATTAATATTACAATAACTGGGAGCCATTAGTGGTGCAGTGAGTTAAACTGCTGAGCTGCTCAACCTGTTGTCCGAAAGGTCGCTGATTCGAATCCGGGGAGCGGTGTGAGCTCCTGCTGTTAGCCCCAGTTTCTGCCAACCTAGCAGTTCGAAAACATGCAAATGTGAATAGATCAATAGGTACTGCTCCGGTGGGAAGGTAACAGCGCTCCATGCAGTCATGCTGGCCACATGACCTTGGAGATGTCTTTGGACAGTGTTGACTCTTGGGCTTAGAAATGGAGATGAGCTCTCCCCCCCCCCCCCCACGGCCCAGAGTCAGACATGACTGGACGTAATGTCAGTGGAAAACCTTTACCTTTACCTTAATATTAATAGAGCAGGTGGTTGTTATTGTTATTGTTATTATTATTGTTGTTATTGTTATTATTATTATTCATCTGTCCTGCCTTTCTCCCTATAGGGACTCAAGATGGCACAACCTAATAAGTTTTAAAACACAGTAGCCCTAAGTCTACCAATATATTTTGTCTCATGCATTTTAATATGGTGTATGTTTTTATATATGCTTTTATGGTTCCTGGAGAATCACTTCCAGAAGGTGTTGCTGGGGGACACCTGCTTGGCCCCGCAGACTTTGTCCTGTGGAGTCCCACAGGGCTCACTACTGTCCCCCATGTTGTTTAACATCTATATGAAGCTGCTGTGTGAGATCATCTGGAGTTTTGAGTTTGATGTCATCTGTACGCAGATGAAGTCCAACTCTATCACTCCTTTCCACCTGCTGGTGGAACCAGTGCTTGGCAGCTGTGATAGTCTGGATGAGGTCGAACAAATTGAAACTGAATCAAGACAAGACAAAGGTACTCCTGGTCAGTCAGAAGGCCAAACAGGGTATAGGGTTACAGCCTGAGCTGGATGAGTTACACTCCCCTTGAAGACACAGGTTTGCAGTTTAGGAGTTCTGGATTCCTCACTGAGCCTGGAGCCTCAGGTCTTGGCAGTGGCCATGGAAGCTTTAGCACAATTAAAACTTGTGCACTAGTTGTGCCTGTACCTTGAGACGCTAGATTTGGCCATGGTAGTCCATGCTATTGTTACATCTTGCATAGACTACTGCAACCCGCTCGATGTGGGGTTGCCTTTGAAGACTGTTCGGAAACTTCAAGTAGTCCAATGAGCAGCAGCCAGATTCCTCACCGGGGTGGTGTACAGGGACCATTCAATTCTTCTGTTACGTAGGCTCCTCTGATTGCCAGTCTGCTACTAAGCACAATTCAAAGTCCTGGCTTTGGCCTATACAGCCCTAAATTATTCGGACCCAGCTTACCTGTCCAAATGTATCTCCCTCGTAGGTTAAGATCATCTGGGGAGGCCCTACTCTTGGTCCCACCTCCTTCGCAAGTGCGATTGGTGGGGATCATGACTGACAAGGCCTTCTCAGTGGTGGCCCCTCGCCTGTGAAACTCCTCAGCAAAATAACGCTATTAAAAACATGGCTGTGGAACCAAGCCTTTGGACAGTAAATTCAGTGATATAAGTGATATGGAATAAGTGCAATTACAACCCAAATAGCTCCTGGGTGATGATTTTGGATTGTGTGGTTTTAATCATTGGTTTTAATGTTTAGACGTTTTAATATATGTTTTTATCTATATGTCTGTTCTTGCTGCATTGAATTGTTGCCTACGTGTAAGCTGCTCTGAGTCCCCTTCAGGGTGAGAAGGGCGGGGTATAACTATAGTAAATCAATCAATAAATAAAATATAAGTATTAGTAATGTTAATAATAATAATAATAATAATAATAATAATATGAATATGACAACTATGTAAAGGGTTCCTTTTCACCATGAAATGCTTAGCCTATCCCTTCTTTACTTTCTTTTTACAGGACCATGGAGCACGCGGCGTGGGAATTATAATCTAGGTATATAAACCGTTTATTAAAGAGTTTTAGGAAAACAGAGGGATGAACAGAGAATTGTCTCAAGTCTGATAGCAAGTTGGCTCTCCTTAACCAAAACTAAGTAAAGTTACTGAACATGCCTCCAAAGGGATGCTGACAAGTCAAACCCGCATTTTGGACTTTAGGAGAGCTGATTTCCAAAAAATGAAGGAAACACTGAGCAGCATTCCGTGGACACAGATACTAAAAGACAAGGGAGTTACGGATGGATGGGAATTTCTCAAGAGTGAAATACTCAAGGCGCAATTGCAAACCGTGCCAACAAAGAGAAAAAAATAGGACAAGTGCAAAGAAGCCAGAATGGATGTCCAAAGAACTTCTAACTGTGCTAAGACACAAAAGAGACATGCACAAGAAGTGGAAAAAGGAGAAATCACCAAAGAAGAATTCAAACAAATAGCCAACACCTGTAGGGAAAAGGTCCGCAAGGCTAAAGCACAAAACGAGCTCAGGCTTGCCAGGGACATTAAAAACAATAAAAAGGGCTTCTTTTCTTATGTCAGTAGAAAAGGGAAAAACAAGGTGGGCCTCTTCGAGGAGAAGATGGGGCAATGCTGACAGGGGATAGGGAAAAGGCAGAACTACTTAATGCCTTCTTTGCCTCGGTCTTCTCACAAAAAGAAAGTCATCTTCAACCTCAGCAAGATGGAGTGGATGAGGGATTAGAGGACATCCAACCCCAAATTGGGAAACAAATTGTCCAGGAATACCTGGCCGCTCTAAATGAGTTCAAGTCCCCAGGGCCAAACCAACTACACCCAAGAGTATTGAAGGAACTAGCGGAAGTCATTTCGGAACCATTGGCAACCATCTTTGAGAGTTCTTGGAGAACGGGAGAAGTTCCAGATTGGAGGAGGGCCAATGTGGTCCCAATCTTCAAGAAGGAAAAAAGGATGACCCAAACAACTACCGTCCGGTCAGCCTCACGTCGATACCAGGGCAAGATTCTGGAAAAGATTGTTAAGGAAGTGGTCTGCAAACACTTAGAAACAAATGCGGTCATCGCTAATAGTCAACATGGATTTATCAAAAACAAGTCATGCCAGACTAATCTGTCTTTTTTGAGTAGATGCGGGGAATGCCGTGGATGTAGCATACCTGGATTTCAGTAAGGCATTTGACAAGGTCTCCCGTGACCTTCTGGCAAACAAATTAGTCCAATGTGGGCTAGGCAAAACTAGTGAGGTGGATCTGTAATTGGTTAAATGGACGAACCCAGAGGGTGCTCACCAATGCTTCCTCTTCATCCTGGAAAGAAGTGACGAGCGGAGTGCCATCAGCAGGGTTCCGTCCTGGGCCCGGTCCTGTTCAACATCTTTATTAATGACTTAGATGAAGGGTTAGAAGGCATGATCATCAAGTTTGCAGACAACACCAAATTGGGAGGGATAGCCAATACTCCAGAGGACAGGAGCAGAATTCAAAACGATCTTGACAGATTAGAGACACAGTGGTTCTCAACCTGTGGGTCCCCAAGTGTTTTGGCCTACAACTCCCAGAAATCCCAGCCAGTTTACCAGCTGTTAGGATTTCTGGGAGTTGAAGGCCAAAACATCTGGGGACCCCAGGTTGAGAACCACTGGATTAGTGAGATGGGCCAAAACAGACAAATGCAAGATACTCCACTTTGGCAGGAAAAACGAAATGCAAAGATACAGAATGGGGGACAATGCCTGGCTCGAGAGCAGTACGTGTGAAAAAGATCTTGGAGTCCTCGTGGACAACAAGTTAAACATGAGCCAGGAATGTGATGTGGCGGCAAAAAAAGCCAATGGGATTTTGGCCTCAGGCATCAAGAGGAGCATAGTGTCTAGATCTAGGGAAGTCATGCTCCCCATGCTCTATTCCGCTTTGGTTAGACCACACCTGGAATATTGTGTCCAATTCTGGGCACCACAATTCAAGAGAGATATTGACAAGCTGGAATGTTTCCAGAGGAGGGCGACTAAAATGATCAAGGTCTGGAGAACAAGCCCTATGAGGAGCGGCTTAAGGAGCTGGGCATGTTTAGCCTGAAGAAGAGAAGGCTGAGAGGAGACATGATAGCCATATAAATATGTGAGAGGAAGCCACAGGGAGGAGGGAGCAAGCTTGTTTTACTGCTTCCCTGGAGACTAGGAGGCGGGCGGAAACAACAAGAAAGGATATTCCATCTGAACATTAGGAAGAACTTCCTGACTGTGAGAGCTGTTCAGCAGTGGAACTCTCTGCCCGGAGTGTGGTGGAGGCTCCTTCTTTGGAAGCTTTTAAACAGAGGCTGGATGGCCATCTGTCAGGGGTGATTTGAATGCAATATTCCTGCTTCTTGGCAGGGGTTGGACTGGATGGCCCATGAGATCTCTTCCAACTCTTTGATTCTATGATTCTATGAAATCACAGAATGATATAATATAATAGATGCCAAGATTTTAATATGTGTCTGTCTTAGTATATGCCTTTAGGGGGTATTTTATGTGCTCTGCCTTGAGCTGTAAGAAGAGGCAAGTAAATAGTAGTAATAATAATAATGAGAATAATAATGAGAAAAATAATAATAATGGGATAATACCAGGAAACTACAGGTCAATAACATGTCTGTCTACAATGTTTAAACTGCTGACTGGCATAATAGCTGATCAAATCCAGGATTACTTGGAGGAAAATAACATCTTGCCGGTAGAACAAAAAGGCAATAAAAGAAGAAGTAGGGGCATGAAAAATCAGCTTCTGATTGACAAAATGATACTGGAGATTTGCAAAAACTGCAAAACAAACCTCTATAGTAATTGGATTGATTACAAAAAAGCATTTGACTCACTGCTACATTGTTGGATTATCAAATGTCTAGATGTCATCGGGGTGTGTGAAAATATTAGAAAGATCACCGAAAATGCAATGAAGCAATGGACAACCGAGTTGTTAGTGGGCAACGAAAGCTATGGAACGGTTAAGATTAAGAGACGAATTTTCCAAGGTGACTCACTGTCACCACTGCTTGCTGTTCATCATTGCAATGATCCCACTGTCAGTAATTCTACAAAAACAAACCTGGGCTACCAAACAGCAAGAAATTCACCAAAAAATTCCCACTTGCTGTATATGGATGAGCTAAAGATTTACGGAAAATCAGAAACTGAAATCCAGTCACTGACCAACACAGTCAGAATCTTCAGCACTGGCATCAGTATGGAGTTTGGCCTAGACAAATGCGGCACAGTGGCATTAAAGGAAGGGAAAATTACTCACAGTGAGGGCATGGAGATGCCAAACGGACAAACCATAAAATGCAACCAGCCTGAAGCCTATAAATATCTGGCTACAGTTGGACAATATCAAGCATGAGCATGTCAAAAATGTGTTCAGCAAAGAATAGATCCAAAGAGTCAGAAAGGTTTTGAAGAGCAAATTAAATGGCGGAAATACAATCAAGGCTCTCAACACCATCCCGTCATTAGATACACTGCTGGAATTGTGAACTGGACAGAAGCAGAGCTGGATACTCTAGACAGAAAACCAAGAAAACGGATGACAATCCACTGCTCATTACACCCGCGTAGTGATGTCGTCCAGAAAATCAGGATGAGAGAGAGGGCTTCTACAAGTGAAACAAACGGGAGAAGAAGAGAAACATGCTCTGGCAGATTATGTGAAAGGCAGTCAAGAACCAACATTGAAGGAAGTCAATAGTAGAAAACTGCTTAAAGTGCAAAAGACAAAGAGTCAATACTGTAAAAACACAATCCGGAGCAGAAGAGAAAACTGGCAAAAGAAGGCTCTCCATGGACAGTTCCTGGAAAAAATTGAGAGCCAAATTGACAAAGAAAAAAACATGGCTGTGGCTCACAAATGGGACTCTGAAAAAGGAGACAAAGGAGGACCTGATTCTGGCAGCCCAAGAACAACATTAGACCAAATTACATCAAAGCCAGAATTGAAAAGTCAACAACAGATCCCAAATGTAGACTCTGCAAGGAAGCAGATGAAACAATAGATCACATCCTCAGCTGCTGCAAGAAGATTGCACAGACAGATTACAAGCAGAGGCATAACACCGTTGCTCAGATGATTCATTGGAACTTGTGCCACAAACATCATCTGCCTGCGACAAAGAACTGGTGGGATCACAAGCCAGAAAAAGTTACAGAAAAGGAACACGTCAAACTCCTCTGGGACTTCCGGATTCAGACAGACAAGAGTTTTGGAGCACAACACCCCTGACCTTACGATCGTGTTAAAAAACAAAGTATAGATTGTCAATGTTGCAATCCCAGGTGACAGCAGGATTGCCGAGAAACAACTGGAAAAGCTGGCACGATATGAGGATTTAAAGATCAAACTGCAAAGACTCTTGCACAAGCCAGTCAAGGTGGTCCCAGTGGTGATTGGCACACTGGGTGCAGTGCCTAAAGACCTTGGCCTGCACTTAAACACAATTGGCGCTGACAAAATTACCACCTGCCAGCTGCAGAAGGCCACCTTACTGGGATCTGCACATATTATTCGGCGATACATCACACAGTCCTAGACACTTGGGAAGTGTCCAGTGTGTGATCCAATACAACAGCCAGCAGAGTTATTTTGTCTACTGTGGACTCATCTTGTTGTGTTTCAAATAATAATAATGCTCAGATGATTAATTGGAACTTGTGCCATAAATACCATCTGCCTGCGACAAAGAACTGGTTGGATCATAAACCTGAAAAAGTTACACTCCCAGGCGACAGAAGGATTGAAGAGCAACACCTGGAAAAGCTGACACAATACAAGGATTTACAGGTCGAACTGCAAAGACTCTGGCACAAACCAGTAAAGGTGGTCCCAGTGGTGATTGGCACACTGGGTGCTGTGTTTAAAGACCTTGGCCTGGACTTAAAAACAATCAGCACTGTCAAAATTACCATCTGTCAGCTGCAAAAGGCCACCCTATTGGAATATGCATGCATGATTCGCCGATAAATCACATAGTCCTAGACACTTGCGAAGTGTCCAATGTGCGATCCAATACAACAGCCAGCATAGCTGTTCTTGTTTGCTGTGTACTAATCTTTTTGTGTTTCAAATAATAATAATAATAATAATAATAATAATAATAATAATAATAATAATAGTTATTATTATTATTATTATTATTATTATATTAGAGACCACAAGGGTCGTTCAGTCCAACTCCTGCCACACAAGCAACTTTTCATGTAACTTGCTATTTCTCCAGGCCCTGCCTCAAGCTGAAAGGAGAGGAGTATAATAAATTTATTATTATTATTATTATTATTATTATTATTATTATTATTA